TAACTTGAGTTTCCCTACCCTCAGGGTTGAACTCCACTCAGTTCTATTACAGGTTTCCCCTGCCCTTTCTTTAAAGATGTTCAAAGTTGGGAGCTCAGAAAACTACCCTTCATGAGAACCTATGCCTCTGCAGAGTTGATCTAAGGACTGGCCCAATCGGGAGGTTTGAGAACGGGGGTGGGGGGAGGTCGTGGGGGTGTTTCAAGGTCACCCGCGCAGCTACCTTTCTTACTGGGTCTGATGTCGTGCAGTCCGGGAGGTCGCGCACCCGCCGGATGATCTCAGGCAGGCAAGCAGCTGAAGAGACCCCCTCCGGGGTCTTTGGGTCCTTACTGGGTCTGATGTCACACAGTCTGGGAGGCTGCACACCCACTGGATGATCTCAGGCAGGCAGGCAGCTGAAGAGCCAGATGCCCATTTTTGAATCAGGTCTTTATATTTGAGTGGATCGTTGTTTTGAATTCTTTGTATACTCTGATAAAAGTCCTTTGTCTGAGCAGCAGCTGGTAAAAATTTTTTCCCACATTGTAGATTGTCTCTTAATTCTGTTGATGGTTTCTTTTGCAGTGCAGAAGCTTTTTAATAAAATGAGATCCCAGTTGTTGATTATTTCTGCTCATTCCCATGCTGCTGAGGATTTGTTCATAAAGTCTTTTCCCATGCCAATTTCTTCAAGAGCTCTGAGTAACCTATCTTCCAGCAAGTTTAGTGTTTCTGTTTTAATATTTAGATCTTTAATCCACTTGGATTTTAATTTAGTGCATGGTGACAGATAAGGGTCTAGTTTGAATCTGTGGCAGGTTGAGATCCAGTTTTTCCAACACCATTTATTAAAGAGGCTATCTTTCCTCCAGTGGGGATCATCAGCTCCTTTGTCAAAGATGAGGTAGCTGAGTATGTCTGGAGTTGTTTTTGTGTCTTCAAATCTGTTCCACTGATCCTCAGATCTGTTTCTTTGCCAGTACCATGCTGTTTTTGTCACAGTGGCTTTGTAGTATAGTTTCAAACTGTGAATTATTATACCCCCTGCCATGTATCTGTTGCCTAGGATGGCTTTTGCTAATCTAGGTCTCTTATAGTTCCAAATGAATTTTTGGATTCTTTTCTCTAGTTCTGTGAAATATAGTGTTGGAATTTCAATTGGCATTGCATTGATTCTGTATAGCAGTTTTTGTAGTATGGCCATTTTCACTATGTTGATTCTTCCTACCCAGGAGCAGGGGATATCTTTCCATTTTCTTATATTCTCTTCAATCTCTTTTTTCAGAGTGCTGTAGTTTTCACTGTAGAGGTCTTTTGCTTCTTTTGTTAGACTGATTCCTAGATACTTCATTTTTTTGGATGCTTCCTATGCCAATGTCTTCATGAGTTCTGCCTAACTTATCTTCCATTGTTTAGTGTTTCTTTTTTATTATTTAGATCTTTAATCCACTTGGATTTTAGTTTAGTGCATGGTAAAAGATAAGGGTCTAGTTTTAATCTTTGGCAGGATGAAATCCAGGTTTTCCAACACCATTTATTAAAGAGGCTATCTTTCCCCTAGTGAGAATGGTTGGCTCCTTTGTCAAAGATGAAATAGCTGAGTATGTCTGGAGTTGTTTCTGTATCTTCTAATCTATTTCACTGATCCTTGGGTTTTTTTTCTTTGCCAGTACCATGCTGTTTTTATTACAGTGGCTTTGTAGTATCATTTCACATTGGGGATTATGATACCCCCTGCCACGTCCCTGTTGCCTAGAATTGCTTTTGTATTTCTAGGTCTCTTATGGTCCCAAAGTAATTTTTGGATGTTTTTCTCTAGTTCTGTGAAATATAGTGTTGGAATTTCAGTAGAGATTGTGTTGAATCTGTACAGCAGTTTTGGAAGTATGGCCATTTCACTATGTTGATTCTTCCTACCCAGGAGCAGGTGATATCTTTCCATTTTCTTATATCCTCTTTGATCTCTTTTTTCAGAGTGCTATAGTTTTCAGTGTACAGGTCTTTTGCTTCTTACTAGATACTTCATTTTTGGGGATGTTATTGTGAAAGGAATTGTTTCCCTAATTTCTCTTTCAGTGAGTCTGTCATTTGTGTACAAGAAGGCTATTGATTTTTGAGTGTTGGCCTTGTATCCATCTACTCCCCTGAAAGTTTCAATTAAGTCTAGAAGTGTTTTGGCAGAGCTTTTTGGGGTCTTCTCATATTGTCGGCAAATAATGACAGTTTAACTTCTTCCTTTCCTATCTTTATTGCTTTAATTTCTTTCTCTTGTCTAAATGCTGTGGCTAATGTTTCCAGAACTGTATTGAAGAGGAGTGTTGATAGTGGGCATTCTTGTCTTGTTCCAGATTTTAACATGAAGGTTTACAGTTTTGGCCATTTAATATGATGCTGGCTGTTGGTTTTTCATAGGTAGCCTGTATCAAGTTGAGATAAAGGCCATCTATTCCATTTTTGTACAGGGTCTTCATCATGAATGGGTGTTGAAGTTTGTCAAATGCTTTTTCTGCATCTATAGAGATGATCATATGATTTTTGTCCTTGACTCTGTTAATATAGTGTATTACATTTATTGATATATGTATGCTGTGCCATCCTTGCATCCCTAGAATAAATCCAACTTGGTCAGGGTGTATGATCTTCTTGATGACCCTCTGTATTCTGTTTGCCAGTATCTTATTTAGGATTTTTACATCTATGTTTATTAAAGAGATTGGCCTTTTGGTAGTTCCTTTTTGGTTGGGTCTTTCCCAGTTTTGGGAATCAAAGTAATACTTCCTTCCAGGAATGAATTTGGAAGTATTGCTTCCCTTTCAATTTCATTGAAAAGTTTAACATGTAGTGGCAGTAGTTCTTCTCTAAATTTCTTGTAAAGTTCAGCAGTGAGTCCATCATGACCCAGGCTTTTCTTCTGGTAAACTTTTAATTACATTTTCAATTTCATTGATTGTAATTGGGGTGTTTAGAATTTTTTTATCTTCTTTGTTCAATTTTGGAAATTCATAAGTACCAAGAAATCTGTGCATTTCTTCTGTTTTCCATTTTATTAGAGTACAGGTTCTCAAAGTATGCATTGATGATCCTCTGGATTTCTGGTAGATCTGCTGTGACTCCACCTTTTTCATTATTAAATGCATGGATCTAAGCCTTTTCTTTTTCTTTTCTTTTCTTTCTTTTTTTTTTTTTTTTTTTTTTTGACAAGGTTGGCTAAGGTTTTATAGATTTTATTTATTCTTTCAAAAAAACAACTCTCGTTTTGGTGGCACATGCCTGTAATCCCAGCACTCGGGAGGCTGAGGCAGAAGGATCGCTGTGAGTTCAAGACCAGCCTGAGCTACATAGTGAGTTTCAGGGCAGTCTCAACTACATAGTGAGACCCTTTCTCAAAAAACCAAAAAAAGAAAAAAAAAACTCTTCTGTTCATTGATTTTGTTTTGTTTTGATTTGTTCTCTTAGTTTCCATTGCATTGATTTCTGCTCTAATCTTTATAATTTCCTCCTTTGTATGAGCTTTGGGTTTTTCTTGCTCTTCTTTTTCTAGGAGCCTAAGATTCATTACTAGGTTGTTTATTTGAGCTTACTCTGTTTTCCTAGTGTGTTCATTCACTACTATGAATTTTCCATGTAGAACTGCTTTCGCTTGTGTCCCACAGATTTTTATATGTTGTACTGGCATTATCATTTATTTGTAAAAACTGACTAATTCCTTCTTTAATTTCCTCTGTGACCCATTGATTGTTCAGGAGTGTTGTTCAATTTCCATGTTTTTGTAAAGTTCTTATGCAGACCATATTTTTTTTATCCATTCAATTTTTGATAGGCCTCTTTGATTTATTGATTTTTTTTCATTGTTTTCTGCATGGTTTATCTCCTCAGTCATTGCCCCAAAGACTTGGAGCAGTTGTAGGTATACAGGCAGCTTCTAAAATTTAGCTATTTTAAGTTGTGCTGTTATAAAAATGAGTATGCATGTATCACAGTATGATAATGACTTTAATTTTTTCAGGAAGTTACTTAGGAGGGAATAGTTTGATCCAATGAAATTTCTATTTTTAGTTTTTTTGAGGAATTGTCACTATATTTCCACAGTTGATATACTAGTTTACATTGCCACCAACAATATAGAAGGGTTCCTTTTTTCCCCTCCAGCTCTCCAGCATTTATTATTTGATTTCTTGATGATAGCCATTCTTTCTGCATATAGATGGAAAATTAGGATTGTTTTAATTTGTATTTCTCTAATAGACAATGATGTTAAACACCTTTTCATATATTTATTGACTATTTTTTCTTCTGAGAATTGTATATTCATTTCAGTTACACATTTTTTACTAGGTCTTTTATTTGGAAGAGTCTATTTTTTTTAAGTTTTATAAAATATGTTTTAAATGTTAGTCCTCTGTCTGAGGAATAGCTGGCAAAATTTTTAGGTTGACTCTTCACTCTGTTGGCTGTTTCTTTTGCTGTGCAGAATATTTTTAATCTGGTATGACCCCATTTGTTCTTTCTCAGTATTAATTCTTGTGCCATTAGAGTTCTGTTCAGAAAGACCTTTCTTATGACTATGTACAGGAGTTTTAGCTGTTTATATTTTTGTTGTTGTTGTTGTTGTTGTTTCAACATTCAGATTTCCATTTCTTCTGAGTTCTTCAATTTTTTAGTGTCTATGTTTAGGAAGTAGTTGCTAATAATTTGAAATTCAGAATGTTCATTGTGATTTTAACATTTTCATTTTTAATTGCATTGATTTATGTCGTTTTTTTCTTTTTTGGTAAGATTAATTAAAGGTTTTTCTATTTAGTTTATTCTTTCAAAGGACTGCCTCTTTGATTTATCGAAATTTTTTCATTGTTTCCTGCATAGTTTATCCTCTCAGTCATTGCCCAGAGGACTCTGAACAGTCATAGGAATATGCAGGCACAGACACAAGGCCAAGCTTCTTCTGCAATGTTGTGACAAGGGACTGTACATCATGGAGCAGAGCCCTGTACTCCCCTATGCAGCCTGGACAAAGTCTGGGGAGAGTTACCTCCCAGGATATCCACATTAGATGATTTTTTTATTTTGTTATTTTGTCTCTATTTCATTGGTTTCTGCTCTGATCTTTATAATTCCTATCTTGTTCTAGCTTTGGATTTGGATTTTCTTGTTTTCCTAAGACATTGAGGTACATCATTAGCTTTATTTAGGCTCACTCTGTTTCAGTGATATGGCCTTTCACAGCTATAGACTTCTCTCTCAGGAGGACTGTTTACATTGTGTCCCATACTTTCTGTTGTACTGAATTCTCATTTAATTCTAGGAATTGACCTGTTTTTCCTTGATTTCTTGTAGAACCCACTGATTATTCAAGAGTTGTTTAATTATTCAAGAGTATGGTGTAGTTGCTGTTGCATAATTTCTGTGGTTTCTTTTGCCATTGGTTTCAAGTTTCATTGCACTGTTATCTTACAATATGCATGGTAAAAAATGATTATTTTACATTTATTTAAGCATGACTTATTGAATAGTATGTAGTTTATTTTTGAAGAGGTTTCCACATGCTGTGAAAAATGAATGTGTATTCTGTTTCTGTTGGGTGCAACACTATATATCTATTAAGTCCATTTTTCAAAGGTTTTGTCAATTCTGATATTTCTTTGTTGAATTTTTTGTTTAGTTGAGTAACCTATGTGTGATAGTGTGGTATTGAGTTTCCCCACTATAGCTGTATTGAAGGTTATTTGATCTTTCATGTCCAGTGCAATCATGGGTGGTGAATTGGAGGTGGCTGGATCTAGGGTATGTGATACTAGGATCAAGGATGTGATGCTGAGATTGACTCATGTTATGATGCTAGGATTACAGGTATGAGTGCTACCCACTATAAGGGTGGGTATCCTGGTTAGGATATAAGGGACAGAAAGAGCATAGTTGCTTGCCATTTGTCACTTGTTTCTGCTGCTGCTGCTGCTGCTGCTGCTGCAGCTGCTTGTCTTCTGCTACCCACTCTGTGATGCCCCTCTGCCATGTCACCCTGCCCTGGGACTAGCCAATGATGAACTGAAGCCTCTATAACTGTGAGCCAAATAAACCTTTCCTCCTTGAACTTTGGGTATCGGGTATTTCATCTCAGCAATGAGCAAAGTAACTAAGACACTCAAATTCTTTTCTATACTGGGCATTCAGATTTTGCAACTCTTTTTTTTTTTTTAAGTTCTGCTATGTTTTCATTGATGTCTTGCATAGACTCGCTGATTGCTTCATTAGTATCACTATCTGTTTGGTTACATTGTTTAATTCACCAAGCACCTTATTGATATATTTTGTTACCTCCACCATTTTCCTTTCAGATATTTTGGCTCTGTGGCTTTTGCTTTCCTACCCATCGATCCACCATGAATAAGCTTTGCACGAGTTGGAAGTTTTGGGAGGCATTTTTGCTGAACTGTCTTCTCACATTTCTGTTTTATATTTATTTGCTTATTTTCTGTGTTGAGGCTTGGGGTTAACTCTAGTAAGTAGGTTCTTGCTATCCTGGAGACCTTTAGTTAGTGTCTACTTTTCATAGAAATCTTCTGGGCATGGCTAACTATTGGTTTTTGGCTTTGTCCCAGGATCCCACCACCACCATTTATTTGGGAGTGGAGGTCCCGGCTTATTTGGCCCAGTACTCAGTTCTTTGGGAATTGGCCACAATATTAATTATGACCTCAGGCAATTGAGACATTGGCATACAAAGAAAATCAATTGATAGAAACAACTATGTCACGTAGGCTGTAGTAGAAAAATCATCAATATTAATAGTACCAAACACAAACTGGATATAGACAAACATTAAGAACCAATAATGTGCCACACTTAACCATAGAAGAAAAATCTATGATTATAGTATAAACACAAAGACAAACCAGATATTGACCTAGAGTAAATATCTACTCAAAGGAACAACTTTACCTCCACTAACAATAGAATGGTGTTCAACATTAGTAAGATATAGTTAACCATCTACAGATTCATAAACCTTAATGGTCATACTAGTAAGGATAGAGACTATAGGAATGGGAGAATGCAAAAAGTAGAATTTGAAAAATTAAGTGATGGAGATAAGAAGAGGAGAAAAGTTAAATAAAGGTTACTATTGAGAGGTAAAAAGAAATTAATAACATTAGATAAAGGTGACAGAATAAATAAAAAGAAGAGAAAAGAAAAATAGAAAGTAAATTAAAAGAAAAAGAAAAAATAAGGGAATAAATTAAAAGAGCAAGAAAAAGACAACAACATTTTTTAAATAATAATAATGAAGGGCCGGGGATTTAACTCAGTGGTTTGGTGACCTGCCTTGCAAGCGCAAAGACCTGAGTTCAATCCCCGGTACCAAAATAATAATAATAATAATAATAATAATAAAAGGGAAAAAAACAAAATAGGAACTAAAACTCCAAGCATCACCAAAAACTATAGAGAGAAATGAGAAAATAATGGGTCAATAGAAAAAAGAACTTAGGCATTTCCAAATGAGTGATTTCCTTTCAGGACCTGTAATCTTTGGAATCCAGAAAATCATGTTCCTTTCCATCCTGCTTTATAGCGTGTGAATTTGTGAGGTGATCCTCTCTCCTCAAGTGGTCTCCCTGCCTTTAAACCCCAGATTGTGGCACCATCCAAGCTGAGACACATCCTTGCTCATGTTAGTACATGGGGAAGCAATCAGACCACTTATCTCCACTCAATGCAGGCAGCAGGTGAAGAAGGCTCAAGCAGACCACAGGATTCAACACCATCACCTTTAGATCCAGCTCCCTCTGAAACCAACACCCAGTGAAGTGGGCCTCCCAGCATCGAACGCAGACCTTTTCAGCCTTTTTGGACTGAGTTTGAATTTCACAGGGGATCTATGTCTAGTTCTGACCCTGTCCCCCTCTGCTTCTTGTAGCTATCTCTCACCCAGTCTTTGTGGTAGGGTAACACTGAAAGTCCTGGAGTGAAATTATAGTGTAGGTGTTCTGTAGCTCAGTCCCATGGAAGAAAAGTAACTGTCCCAGGTTGTTAAAACCATGAAATGTCATAGAATTAGAACAGGGCCCTGTCTTATTTCTTCATCATTTAACTAAAACAAGGTAACCACTTCTTAAAATATTTACTAAAAGTTAAATAGTAAGGTAAATAGGAGCACTCCTCTTATGCTATTGTGATACTGTAGAATCTTTATTCCAGCCTCCTTCTATTAAAGGAACCAACCCAGTCCAACAAAGATAATGTCTTCCATTGTGTCTACCTGCCCAGAGCTTACTTCTGACCAATGAGATATAACTCATTCTCCTCCAGTCTTATACTCACCTAATTTCTATTTCTTTCCCTAGAGCAAAACTTTTTAAAGCATATGTGTTCACCTTCTCTAAGGCAATATACTAATAACTATCCACCAAAAGATTTTGTCTATGACTGTCAACTGAGACATTCCCTAAATGAACAGTATGTTTTTCCATGTTTGGATGGTTGGCTGTGTCCAGTAACTTCTGTAAGACTTTAAAGATCTGTTGCCACTTGGACTCATTTTAATAGGGAACCAGGGCTGTGTGGTCCCTCTGCAATCTTCAAAATTTCTGCTTAAGGGTCAGGTGTGATCGCACACACCTGTAATCCCAGCACTTAAGCGGCTAAGGCAGGATGATCACCGCAAGGTTGAGGCCAGCCTCTGCTACATAGGTCAGCCTGAACTGCATACCTAGACCCTGTCTAAAAAAAATGTGCTTAATCTCCTCTAAGCAGTTGTTTGAAGAAGACCATGCATATGTATTTCCAGGATCAAGCAATGAATATTTTGTCATGAAGTAATTTATATCTATACCTAAAGAAACAATTCTTTCTGTCCTTGTCTCTTTCCCCTTCAAGACTCAAAGGATCTTTAAGAACATTAAAGTGGCCCACTTTGTATCATCTTAAACAGAATATTTTTCTTTTTTGGAGTATCTGTATTCAATTTATTTTGTACTCTTTCCCCAAAACAATTGATGGATTAAGTATTTCCTAGAACTAAAAGAACTATGATTGTGTTTTTAGAGTGTTGTGTGTTTATTTAATTACATTTTTGTTGATGTTAGTTTTTATTCCCAAATCAAAGAATCATTCTCCCCCAAAGAAGAACTTAAGTCCTTGGGGGAACTTAGAAAACTGCAACTTAGAAATAGCAATACTTTTATATTCCCAGTGTAAAGGCCTAGTGTTAGCCTTTTACAATGGAAATGTTCAGATATATTCCTTCTTATTGTCTGCAGAGCTCTGATTACCTTGAAAGTGGACATAAGCAGATCTGAAAAGAAGTAATATGTTTTTCTATAATATGACACTTTGTACCCCCAGCATCTTGCACTATACAAATATTTGAAAAGTATAGCCTGGATGGATGGACAGACAAATAAAAGAATGAACAAATTGAATATAATTCATCTGTTATTGTTAACTGTTGCTCTATGCCTTAAATAGCAATAAATTGTTGTTTTTTAGAATGCTTTGAGCTGGCTGGATAGATTTTTCTGCTGTTATCATCCATTCAGCTACATATCACTACTGGATCCACTGGGATGAAAGATTCAAGATGGCGCCACTCAGATAGCTGATGCTGACTGACTACTCAGATGCCTTGGTTTCTCTCCCATGTTCTAAAAATCAATCTTTTGATATATTAGACAAACTTCCTTTTTGGTAGACTCTGGGCAACATTCCAAGAGTTTAGAAACAGAAACTGCAAGACACTAAGTCCTAGGCTTCAAACTTCATACATGACTTCTGCTGCATATGTTAGTCAAAGAAAGACACAGCCAAGCCCAGATTCAAGGAGTGGGGAGATGCACTCCACCTCTGGCAGGAAGGACCTGCAAAGTATTTCTTCCGGTCTTCTTTCTGACCACAATCATCTGCATTCCTTGCACATGCAAAATTTACTCATCCCTTCTTAATAGCTCAAAAAGTTGCAATCAGTTGCAATAGTTGCAATAATTTCAGTTAGATTTCAATATCTATAATTTGTACCCATGCTTACCTCACTCATGCACCATGAGATTAACACCT